ACGGAAGTTGAACAGGTATCTGCAACACAACGGGTGAAAAATGAATGCTTGCTTGAATCAGTGAAGTGACCTTTTAGTGACATTCTGGAAGAAGGAACGGTAGGGTTACTACCAACACTGATATTTAAATCTACATACAACAAAACTTATCATGAAAAGACGCAGACTCCCTTGCCCGGGGGTGGTGGTGGTGGGGTGTGGGGGCGTGGTGGTGGAGACTCCCATATGAAAAGGTCGGGGATGCTCGTCGGCAAATTTGAATTAAACCCCTAAAGAAGACCAATCTTGGCGAATAAATCTCGAGATTTGACCCCTAAAAGATACCACTTAAAATGGATTATAACATAACTAAAGCAAAGCACGTGCTCTGATTGGTTAATTCATCGTCTACTATTTGCCCATGGGTCTACACTGCTGATGTGTGTGTGCTAATGTGATGTAGCTCAATAAATGGACTTCTTTTGCTCCAAATGTGTCAATGTTATGTTATAAAACAAATGTTAAACGCCACAGCTGTAAACTATTGATTTATGGATGCACTTGGCAGGTTTGCTAAGCACTCAAGAAGCACTCTTACGCTTCTTTCGTGCTTTGCAACTTCCTGCATACATCCATAACTCAATAGAGTACGCTACGGCGTTTACCATTTGTTAAATAGGCTCGATTATTAGCCGCTGTTCATGGGAGGAACCTGGGCTAGAAGACAGAACTTGAGGGACTGGTGCAAATCGAGCCTAAAACGGAAACAAAATAGTTTTTCATATCTCTATTTCTTCGAGCGCACCCTTAAAGATACTTTGCTAAAATAGTCGTGTTTGGTCATCAACACCATAAGTGAGACCAGAATCCTTGATTGATACTCCTAAGCGAGACGAAGAGCATCCCCGATCTTTTCATATATGGTTCCCTTGCAGCCATTATTTGAGTTGTCACGCAAATGCCGAGGAGTGTTGAAAGGATGGGGAAAATTTTTTTGAGATTTATTATGATAGTCAAGCAGCAAACTTCGCAAACCTGTATTCACAATGATCTTCAAGCTTGATTTCCTTGGCTGGTGGAGCATGTAATGTGTCCTGCAAAATAAATTATGAAATACTTAACATTAATCACAGGCAATTCCCTGAGGATGGCCTGGCTTGAATGACAGAAGAGTTGTATGAAGATCGGCCAAAGACGTCCGAGTATTTTACAAACATTCTCGAAGTCTGTTCATGGGCTTTTTCTACATTACGATCACTTTTTGAAGATTTCCATAATACTAACTAGATTCTGTGTACATGTATTTAGTTGGACTCAAAATGTTTCAGCTATATCCCAGTGCAAGAAAATATAAATGGAAATAACGATTTGAAGGAGCTTACAGCATCAGACTTCCACGCCTGGTTCTTGGTGTACTGAGCATCAACAAGGCTTGGTTCTT